GGCAAAAACTGCAAGTATCCGCAAATTGCGTGAAAGCAATGAAACGAAACTGTTGTGAGCGACTCGATGCCCTGTGGATCCCTGTGGCTTTTCAGGCTTTTCACATCTTAGCACCTGACCGAATGTCTTGAGGGATTCCTTCAAGAATGGGATCTGGCCCATCCGCCACACGACGGTAGAACCTGTCGCATCTTCATATTGGATGCACTACACATGTTGCAAACTCGATGTCTTATTCCATTTTATGTAATATTCTTATATATTCTTGCCTTTCATCTATTGCCCAGATCCGGCCTTTGCCATAGAGGGAACCCTCGACTGAGTTTTGCTCGCGTATTCCCTGCACGGCTTCTCCGCAAAGCTCTCTGCTGTCGAGGCAAGAAGCCCAGCAGGGCCTTGAAGAGTGGAAGCATGATGTGCCAAGCGTAAGATGTGAGAAGTGTCAGAGTTATATTATATATATAGTCATAGTCACCGTAAGGATCACCGCGAATCACCCCAGGAGTAGGAAGGCACCGCAAAAAAAAAAAAAACTAAGCACTGCAAATTGTTATTGCATTTCCTGCCGCGAAAGAGCACAGCTGAGTAGCTTACTGCAGGGTCGCTTTGTCAACAGGCTGGGAGGCTGAAGGCCCAGCTGCTCCCACTCCCACCAACCCTCCATTCCTCCCAGGTCCTTGGTGTCTGTAGCGATCATCTCCCAGAAGTTCCCCTGCAAATATTGCAAGACTGGAACTTAAAAAGAGGCTTTCCACCAAGCACCAAGCACTCTGCTCACTCCCTGCCAGCTCGCAGCACTTCCGGCCTGGTCAAGCTCAGCTTGCAGCTGCCCGCGGTCCCAAACACAGTGGCCCATGAAGAGCATAAAGTCATCGACTTGCGCCTGCAGCCACAACGCTTATCCCTGGAGGCATCCAGCTGAAACTGAGGCACCCACCTGACTCTCCATGATACACCGAGAAGCTGCCCATGGCTCAGTGGCATAGATGCCTGCCAGCATGCTGAGGAGAACTAGCTAGCTTGTAGTCACTCCATTTGACTCGACCTGTGTCCTTCTTGAATCCTAGGTCCGAATGGCGCCAAAAAACAAGAGATTGCATTGTCGCTCAAGCACTGGAAAGCAGAATGGGTCCGTCGGTCCAGCCTGGGGCCACCAGGTCAGAGTCCGGCAAAGGTTGAGTGTGCAAGCAAAATTGCCTGCACCAATCAGCCGTGCAAACTGCTACGTGCAAGAGACTTATATAATCGTTTCCAACTCCTGGCCTTGCGGTCTCACCGCCATGAAGCCTGAAGTGTTCCGGAGGTTCTCACGGTTGAATCAATGGAATGATTCTCCAACAAAGCAAGAAACTGCTTCGAAGGTAATATTATGTCCATCAAAGAATTGAACATGTTGCTTTTTTGTCCAGAACAAGTGGTTAAGCTGCATCCAAGCGACTCGGGACAGCCAAGGAGACCCTCGAATGGACCACCTTCGCTACTGGCGAGAACGCATTCATGCATTCATGTTCGAGGGAGATGGACCAAAAGCAAGGTCTGCGGAAGGGAACAAGAATCCGGCTGCGCAAATCATCATACATGAAAACTTTACATAGGATAATATGGGATATTCATGTTCCTTCACATGCAGAAATTGCTGGCCGTCAAACCCTTCCATCACCGGCAAAGCCCGGGACGGGCATTCCATCTGACAACTTATATATATATATATAGAACTGAAACTAAATACAAACACACACACATATATTATATGTAATCATGTGTTATGTATATATATATGTATATATCCACAGTATCCACAGGCTGTCCAAGCGGCCAGCCCAAACGTTGAACTGCAAGCGCCCGTAAGTTTCACTTCTGGGAGTTGGTCGGTTCAGAATCAAACCTGAGCTAGATGGTTCAACAACCTGATCACAGCATGTACAAGTTTGAAGTGAGCTGCCGTCACCTGTGACTTCATGTGCCCAAACTATCAACTTGCAAAACAAATCTACAGTAACTCTGCTCTGGGTGTTGCATATCTGTCCCACATGCACAGGTGCAGGCTTGTTTGATCTTATCCCTAGAGTTGGCGTTGAGTCAAGGCGCCTTTGCTGTAGTCATCCTCGTGCTCAGTGATCAGGACGACAGCTTTGTGAAAGATCGGGTTGTAGAACGACCAGGTCTCGGACACTTCAAGCGAACAAGGCTGCTCTGGGGGTCGCCATGGGTCGACTAAATAAGGGCTTATACCATCCATTGATGACGCAAGACAAGCAGTAATGCAAAACCAATGTGTGGTGTGCCTATTCATGTGCGGGTCCCTTCACGAACGCCTGAGTAGACCCTGGAACAATAGGCCATGGCGGATCAAAATGACTGATACATATCTGGAAACATATACTGTACATAAATACTCACATCATCTGATATCAATGCATTCTTGGGTAGGTCGGCCGAATTTTTCACTCTCATAGGCTCTCACCTGTCCAAACCTTGAGACCGTTGACCTACGGTTGAGTAATCATGGATGTCTTGTCGTTATACTACTACAATAGATTTGAACCATGAATGAACCGCGATGGCACCATCAAGAGTGCGGGCCAGGCCATGTCCTTAGCCTTCACTTTGAACATGTGGAATACCGAAGGAATGCAGCCATTCCATTTAGGTGCGCTGCTCACATGCTGCAACATGAGAAAGCAATCTACAAGCTGAGTACGATGATAGCCCTTTCCACGCAACCTGACACACCCCGTCACAAATAGTCAATACATGGCAAAACACAATAGCACAGCTCCTTGCTTCCCTTGAAACAAAAGGCAAGGGAGCTTGTTCTCTCGAAAGTTCCTGGGTCCTCGGATGGTCTAGGACTCTAGTTTGTGAGTGTGATCATGTGACTACATGTGTTGCTTTGCGCCAAAATGCCTGTGTAAAGGTGCAAGCATTCCATATGTAATACATGCCGAGCCGTAATTTTAGCTAGCACTCGAATCTAAAAAAGGAGCATGACATGGTATGCGATGGCACGCACCATACCCTGCTTCGCGGTCGAAATCCAAGGCACCCCAAGCTTGGAGATCAAGACGGAGCCCTGCTCAATGAGGGGACTTCGGTGAAGCCAGGCCTCCTGACAAACTAGTCTATTGGCATGAAGTGCCTACCACTCAAGGCTGAAGTACCTTGTACTGCAAGCCTGGGCTTTAGGTCAGCTTCAGGTGACTGGCCTTAATGGGTTCTAAAAGGTACAAGTAGTAGGGCGTGAGTCTCACACCTGTTCTTCTCCCACACCCTCAACAAATCGCGTTGCATGGCAAGCAACGCTAATTCTGCGACAGAAAACATGTGCATTTCCCACTGGCTTTTGAAGACATGCCTGTGCTGCGTATTCATGAGAACACCAAGTCTGAAACCGGGGGTGAATCAGGAATTGCCTCTGGGCAGTGATCACCCCGCTCCCGGCTTGTAGACAGTGATGGATCCCAATGATGGTAACTGATGTATCCAAGAACCCGAGGCCTCTGAGACGGTTTCAGGCAAGTCTGCAGTGAGTGTGTCTTCTCGCTGAAGGAGTCGTGCGCGGAAGCTGCGCCAATCCTCTACTGACTGGGCCTCAAGGTCAACGGAATTACTGTATTTATATCTATATTTATAATATATATACTGTATATATATATGCATGTCCATGTCATTCCATGTCAACCAATGTCAACTCGCAGCTCAAAACTCTAGCTCACGCATCTTCACTGGGGCAAGGCTTTAGCCGCTTTAGCAACAGCAATGTGGCATCGTGCAGTCAAACCATTGGGTGCATGCGTTGCATTAATTGCTGGCTTCGACCACTGACACGCTGAACTTGTTGAGGTGTCTGCTGAAGGTTCTTCCTTTGCACTCTATATAGAATGTCAATCCACTCATCACGAGTCTCAAATGTTGCACGGACCGCTTTCCTATGCTACTACTGCCGATGGCAAATTACATGACAAGGAATCCATCCGAATTCAGACCTTCTGGGGTACTGAATCAACAAAAGGACCTCAAGACATACAAAGTACAAGTGGCAAGGGTCAAAATGGGTCAAGGGTCTAGTCTACAGGAGGGAGAGTGGATAAAATCCATGAAAACGTGTTCTACCTGGCAAACAGAGTTTGGTAAATTTTGGTCACACCAGGATGAAGCACATTGTGGACTTTCAAGGACAACTTTCGACACGAGGAGCTGGTCTGGCAATCTTTGTGCTCTTGCGCAAGGACACTGGCCCCACCAAAAGGTATGTAGAGGAAATCCTGCAAGCATTGGCGGTGTGCTGTCACATTAGCATACACAGTATTACACAGTGACCAGTCTCAACAACATGTATCTAACATCTCTGAAACCGATATGACGACCGACGACCTTGTGCAATTCATAGACAGGCTGCCATTTAGAAGAGCTGTTTCTTAATCAGCGGGACGCAGTGCAAAACACAAACATTGGGCAACCCTGCAGTGTCCCTGCACCAGCGACCAACGCCAGCCGAAAAGTAGAGCGCGGCATGTTGAAACGCTGAAGTGTGGAACGATGGAACCAGGCCCCAGAACGGCTTTGGGGTAGCCAGTTTCTTTTGCTGGCGGCAAGTTGGAAGCACAAACACACAATGAACTGCAACAGGAACAAATGTGCACATGTGTGTTGTTTCATAATTACATAAGAATACGAGCAAGTATTAATATAGCCTTCTATAAAGTGCGCCAGTCACACCAATCGTCCCAACCCACACCTCACATTGGACCATGATGCAATGTACGCAATGCTGCATGTTGAGTTTTGCATGAGTCTACCGCATCTTCGCCGCAGCTACAGAACTACAGAACATTTGAAACCACCCGGCCCACACAATGCAAACAAGGTTGAGCCTCAAATATTTGCGCAAATCAGCGGTCGTGCGATTCAGTCAAAAAGCCGTTGTGAAGATCGCAGCCTAAAAACATTAAAATAATAGAAAACATTGTTACTACTAGTAAGGCACCTGTTCCCTAGTAGCTTCTTGTTACTAGTAGCGTGGCACCTGTTACTACTAGCATGGCACTTGTTACTACTAGCGAACTTGCAATTCGTGCAGGACATCTAAGGACACCTCCGTACCACCTCAGGGCCTGGGCATGCAGCGGAGTTCTTCAAGGGACGGGGCCTGAGATGCAGACAAAACCTGCCAATGCTTGGCTCCAAGTTTTTCTGTCAATCTATGTATACTTCAACAGCGCCTCATACAACCTTGTAATTACAGGTTGTTGTTTCACCAAAAGCAACTCTCCCCGTAGACACCCACCCAAATCCAAATCACAGAACAAATCTTGCGGAGCAAGTCATCAGGCCTTCTTTCTGCCCAGCTTATTCTCACAGGAAAGGCATGGAATGCATTCGCTGATCCGATTTGCTTTCTGAAAGCAATATACTTCCAAAACTAATCAACGGCCTCATCAACAGTTGTGCACATCATCCCAGCGCAAACATAGTCCGAGGATGGTGGGACCGGTGCCCAAATATACCTGCACTGCGATATGCCAAACATAAATTTGATGGCTCAATTTGACACCGCCGAACAAAAATAATATATAATATATACTTCAAGAACCCTAAAGTTTACGCTTCTTACTCTGTTCCAACATGACACTTGCGGTCTACAGCGGATCGGATTGACACGTCCATTTTGCCTGGCAGGTACAGCGCGGTCAGATTTCCACACCCGTTTAAGTTTATAATACTTATAAGGCTTTCAGGTGTGGAAATCTGACCGCAACTTAGGTGTCGACATGTTGCACGTAGGATTCTACGGGGAAAGGGTTTGTCCCGTTTTAGAAGTCAAGAAGCGCAACTTTCGGCACCCCAGTGTATATATATATATACAGTAGCGCCTGTATGGCTGGCAATTGCGTGCCCAATGTGCGTGTTGACTCATTATACATTGCTCGATATTTATAAATTGATGGGGAGAGGACCGTAAAGTTTGCACAACGAAGAAAGGGCTGAAATGGTGCAAGCATGTTGATTTGCAACTGTGTCCCTCAACAAGTACTTCCAACATTAATATGTGCTAGTATATGTAGTATGCCGACCCCAACCTTGTAATTGAGTCAGTTTGAGTGACTTATGACGACTGTCAGATTTGGTAGTGCATCTTCAGTCGCACAAAGATTTGGAGGCGTCCTTCCCATCTTTCCTGTGCCTCAGAAGGGGCTTCAAAAAATGTTCCAAATTATCGCGCAGGTAAGGAAGCCTGGAAGGCAGCACGCAAATGTTTCAGAGTGGTTGTACATCTCTGCCTATCGCCTGCAATGAGAGTAAAAGTGCACCCCTTTTTTCCGCTGTTCTGCTGCCATATCATAAAGAAGTGGGCATTCTCACTTTTTTGGCCCCATTCGGCATTCTCGTCTGCACTTTCGTAGCTGAATAACTTCATTCATGTCTTTCAAGGAAACATTTTGGACATCCAAATGTTATTTTATGAGTCGGAAATATTCAGGTCTCAATCCTAGCCACTGCTCACTTTTGTCACCCTGCTGCCTTAAAAGATCTTAAAAGTGCGCCAACACTGCAAACATTGATCTGTTCGAGGAGGTCCCTTGACAAGTTCGCTGCAAAAATAGATCGCATTGTGATAATTGAAAAACCAGTACACGGGTCCACCAGATTTGGACTTTGCAGGTCTGAGGTGCCAGCCAAATCTGCCGAAATCGTATTGGATGTGGAAAGAATGTTCCCAGGATTCGACTGAGCTCATCCTGGCAAAGCACCCAAAATGATCGATTTCTGTGCAGGTACGGTATATCTACAGCCGTTGGTCGAAACATGATCGCATTGTATACATACCAGTAGCTGCGTTTGAGCATGTTCCTGCTTTTTCCTGCCAGCCGAATCCTATGCCATATTATGCCACGGGAGCATCAAGTGCACTCCATGCAGCTGAGCAACTCGAGGATGCTTCGCAAAAAATCCACTGTGCTCCTCATCAGTCACCTCTTGCAGCAAAAGCAACGATGAGTGTCTGTCACCGCAGTTGCTTGGTTGTATGATGCTGTATGTGTGTCACGCAGGAGTCATATCTCCTTGAAAAGCACTTGAGAACCCACGTTTGTTTGACTGCTTGGCATTCCTGGCCCCCAATGTTTGGAAGCTTGTTTAGACGATCTCCCACGGTGAAGAACATTACAGTATTGTAATTGTAATCCACAATCCTTCCTTAGGGCTCCTGGAGCACAACTGCCCCTGCCCAGTACATCCAGCACTTTTGATATTGCGTGCTTGTGAGGAAAAACACATTTTAAAAAAAAAGAGCTCAAACACAGGAGTATTGAGGCCTCCTTTTGATCGGGCCCTCTCGCCTTTTCTTTGTGTCCTACCCATCCGGTCCCATCCCCGTACCCTTGAGAGGTGGCAGTAGCAAACAGTAGCTGCCTTGCCTCGAGCAGTTGCACGGAAGGCTTTGCGGTGGACACCTCGAAGCGTGGGTCTTGTGCTTTTCACCAAGAAGTGTTTCGCGTATTTCATGTCATATGTTCAAAAATGACACTTGCACGTGCACCTTTTGGTCCAAACAGGAATGAGGTCCGAGAATGTTGACATGGAAACTCCTTCAGAAAGGCAACCCACATCTCATCAGGTTTGTCAGACTCTCGGTGGCAATACTGATCTGTCCATCGAACAGCCAAGAAGGACTGCGTGCCATTGCATCATTGAAAATAGCTTCTCATGTCATCTCATTTCTGCGTAACATTCGCAACACTCCCACAACTTGATGGCAAAGCCGGCAAAGCCTTATTTTTTTGTAAAATGTATGTAGATGTCTGTAGAAATATGATTGCGATGGGTTCAAAAGCTCAGCTAAGCGCTAGGCTAAGCAACGATACTTGCCCTGGGTCATTGCCGTGGCAAGCAAAGCTTATGCTCCGTTTCTAAGGCCATTGACACAATGCCCAAAAACGACTCTCTCCTTCACGGCGTTGGAGCCTGCCAAGAAACTTAGTACCCTTCTGGCACTGAACCAGTGCCTGACCACTGGGCACCGACAAACACCGTGTAGGGGAGGACCAGTAAGAGTACCCGCCTATTTCTTCACAAAACTTGGGGACAGGGATCACGCATGCAGCATCCAAACAAAAGAGCTTCCAAACGCAAAGCTTCGCTTGACCATTCAATGTGGTATGTCAAACATTAATTATCAATCAGCCCAATTGAAGGGAGGTATGGAAAGAACTGTGGTCCATCTATATCTCAACCAACTGCATGTACATCTCAGCCTTTGTGGCTATTGTGCTCATACCCATGCAAGTCCGCTCTGGCTCTGCTTTATGATATAGCCATTTATAGCCGTACTATATACACAATATATATATATGTGTGGAGTAGATCGAATCTGGAATTAGTAAAACAACTGCAGGCTTTGGACACGAATACTAAATCAGAATTACCTATAGATAGAACATTGGGCTCACACATGTCATATATCTACTCCAGGATGCTATCAACTTATATAAATTGGTGTCCTCTTTTCTCTTCTTCCATTCTCTCTTCCTTCTTCCTTTGCTGTTTCTTCTCCCTTTTCCATCTCTTCCTGCTCCTTTTCCTCTTTCTTTGCTGGTCCTTTTCCTACTCGTCTTCTTGTTTTTCTCTTCCTTATCCTCTCTATCTTCTTGTTTTTCTTGCAGCTGACCACTTCTTAAGGACGTCGTAGAGTGAACCATGGGCAGAACAACGGGGAAGGAAAAGGGGGAAAAACGAGCCCGCTGGGCGTTTGGTGATAATCATAGATAGAGTATTGATAGAACACTTGTGACTAGATAAATCTGTCATTATTATCTTAATCAAAGATTGAGGTCACCTTTTCGGAAAACACTCATTTGCTAAAATCCATATTCTATCTATGTTTCGGCCTTGACCTTTATTTTATTTATATATTGAAGATGATGACAGTCTATAATATATATATATATAGACTGTCCTCATTTTCAAAATATAAATAGATTATATCCACTCCAGAATGATTATATGTGTGTGTGCTCAAGGTTGCTCATCATTCTAACCACGTCAGTCAGCAATGGGTGACTTTAATTCCCTGCTCATAGATTTGTGGTCTTCCAAGGCCGGCCTACTGTTGGGTCCTTGAGAGATAGTATAATGATAGCCAGGCCTCGCTTCAAGCCCATGAAGTTTCCACGCGGAATGAGCCTGAGGCAATAACCCTAATGAGATGCAACATGATAAATGCACATGCGTTCATTCGTGGAAAACAGCGTCTTCCTTGTATATATATATATGTATAGTCTTTTCCTGTGTTGCACCTCACTGTTTGCCCAAACAGGTTCCAATACAACGGCTGTTGTGGCAGTCTATATGAAACCTTTAGCATCCTTTCGCCATTGAGCTTATAGCCTTTCGCTCCCTAGCTTCCCAGAAAAAAAACATAAAAAAAACATATAAAGAAAAGGAAGGTCCCCTTGTGGAAACACAACAACACACAGTAAGACTGTCTGTGTTCATTGGAAACCATGGGTGGGGGAGATTACGAACAAATGGGCCCAAGGAGTGTGGCAATCCTCTCAGCCAAAAGAGCGGCACAGAATCTGCAGGGCACAACATTCTCAGCCTGAGCAAGTCGATATTGTATCCTAGCTTCACGAATCAATTGAATTGGTCCCGCATCTGGACATACTAAAGCGTCAAAATGTGTCACAGCTTTGTCTATATAAGTGGTGGAATCCCTCAAAAATCCTCAAACTGTAAAGACGCTGTCCGAAAGATTGTCCAATACAACCCCGCCAACCTCGCAACCTGCGAACTTGCCTGAGAAATGCTGCGGAAACTCATCTGACGAGTCGGTCTGAATGTGGTACCAAGGAACTCATGTGCCACCCAAATGCTCAAGAGCCCATCTGACCACAAGGGCCGAAACCTCCAGGCCAACAAAGTTGTCTAGCGGATGCGACTGTGACAACAAATGACAATGACACTGAGAGAAACCTCCTACCCCAATGCAGCCTTGAGTTGCGGCAAGTGTTTCGTTAGTTGACACTCTCCAGCACTCATTGGATCATTGATACATACAGTACGTTAGTACATCCACACACACACACACATATATATATATATATACAAACCATATTATAAATTTATGCATATAATGCACATATATATATATACACACAATGTTCAGTCACTCCCACAGGAGGCCCAGCGAGCTGTGCTTCTGCCACTTCACTTTGAATCGCCCAGCCTTGTGCAAGACTCGACCCAATTGGCCAAGTTGTCGGGTTTCGGGACCGGTCTGCTTGTCACAAAAGTTATAAAAGCACATGCCCAAGCGGCAAAGATTTGAAGCGAGAATGGGGCTCCCGATGGCCCAAGGGCTGAAAAGGAGCTTTGTCTTGACATACATGTTGAAACCACAGCGGGGGCCTATAGGCTGCCACTTTTATTGGACTAAGTCATATTTACCGTAGACTCTCAGTAGACCTTGCTACTTCATGCAGCCCTAATCTCAAGTACAGCAATATTATGGAACAAAAAACATCCCTTCGTGGCACGAGAGCGCTGCAGACTGTTTCTGGCACATATCCGCAGTCAGGTAGTGAGAAACCTCAGGGCCAGCAGCATCCCTCAAAGCCTGGAACTTGCAAAACCAAAGAAGAGTTCATCTGCTCAACCAACAAAACTGACAAAACAGCAGCTTCAGTCCAAGTAGGCGACTCGAATGGGTGACCTGAGGCCAATGAGATAGCCCCCGATTCATTCCACAGTTGTTCGATTGGTGGACATACAATTCATCAGTTGGACTTCCAAGATATGAACAATGTGCAAATAATTGCAAGCACAACCTCCGAGAAAAAAAGAAAACATAGAACCCCGTGGAAACGATGGTCAAGGGATGTCAAGGGTTACCCTGCGCAGGGAGGAACTCGTCGCAAAACACAAAGGTCAAGGCTCTGCCAAAAAACTCTCCAGGGTTGGAGAAGGTGGACTTGGAGACAGCGGGCTCGGAGCCTCAAGCATTGTGTCAATTCCGTTCCTGTTCTCTTAAGTGCGATGGGTCCTAGGTCCTACTAGCCTTAAACGTGTTTGCCCTCAAAGGGTTGGTGATTAAACACGCAGGCATACATTTGAAAAGGCCGGAAACAGCCTCTGATTCTGATTCACTTGAAACCAGGGAAGACCTGATATCTGATGTGACACCTCTTGTATGCTTCTGCGGTCCGTGATTCTCAAAGCCAAAACTGCCTTTGATAGGATTGGGACTCCTCAATGTTTCTGTGGCAATTGAAGGTGCTGAAGGCAAACCTCCTCATGGGTTGCCAAGTCGTCCAAGTACGTGAGTGAGTACAGAATTTAGCGTGAAACTAAACTGAAACAAAAAAACATTCCTTTCCGAAGGTAAACACGAACCCGGATCAAACAACTGACCAAAGTAGGGATAGGAGATGTCCGGTCGCACAACATCATGTATGTCTCGTTGATCATCGGATATTGATCATTGCACGGCAGTGTAGGACTCCCTTGGCCCACTTGTTTCATGCCCTTCTTTTGGTTAAGTGTCCTTAAGAATCTAGGAGCCAAATGATTAGTGCGAGCGCTTCTTCAAGGAAACCCCCTCCGCCCTCAGGCGGCGGGAGCTTCGTTGAACAAGCGTGAACTATCTTCGTCCGCTAGGAGCGAACTTTGCCTACTACGGACTAAAAGACAAGATAGGACCCAAACGAGCCCGAATGCAAACAAGTACTTGGAAACAAACACCCAGACATTTGACACTCTTGTAAAACAATCTTGTGGGACACTCTCGCGCGACACTTTCGTCACTCTGCGCTCACTCTTGCAGGGCACTCTTGTAGGACACTCTTGTGGGACACTTGTGGGACACTCACGTACGACACTCACGTACTCAGATGTATTTTGGCCAGATAAGTTAACAGTCCACAGCTCCCAGAAGTTTCTTCCCGTACTACATTTGGTACTACAAAGCTGCCAGTTCTACAGTTCCCAGAGCCGCTTCGCTTCCCGCACTACATTTGTATTACCAAGTGGCCAGTTCTGAGGCCACAGCTCCCACAACCAGCTTCCCATTGTTACATGTGTACTACAAGTTACCAGTTCCAAGGCCACAGTTCCCAGAAGCAGCTTTCTGCACTACATTACCAATTGGCCAGTTCTAAGGCCACGGCTAAAATTGCCACTTCTGAGGCGGGACATGGCGGGACCAGAAGCCGCTTCCGCACTACATTCGTACTACCAAGCCTGGCTGCTTCCCACATTACATGTGTGCTACAAGTTGCCACTTCGGAGGGGCACTCCTGACACTCTCGCGGGACACTCTTGTCGGACACTCTTGTGGGACACTCTTGCAGGACACTCTTGTTGCACACTCTTGTGACTCTTGTGGGACACTCTTGGGACATTCTTGCACCACACTCTTGCGAGACACTCTATAGGACGCATTCTTGTCGGAAACCCCTGTGGGACACTCTTGTGAAATCTTGTGGGTCACCTTGTATGACACTCACTCTTGTGGGACACTCTTGCGGAACACTCTCGTAAGACACTCTTGTGGGTCACTCTTTTGGGACACTCTTGTATGGCGTTCTTGCGGGGCACTCTTGCGAAGCACCCTTGTAAACAAGACACTCTTGTTGGACACTCTGATGTCATCTTACGTCAAGTCTCCAAAACGAGCGTTTCACGCAAGACTTCCTCCAAAAGCCACACGTCAAAGTCCAAAGCGAGCATTTCGTACGAGACGTCGTCCACAAGTCAAGCGGGAAGACCCATCGGAGCCAACACATCAAGCAGCCCTGACAAGCAGTTTTGCGATTCGAGTCCCTTCAAACCACACCCGCCGACCCCCCAATCCCAATGTCACAAAGTACTACCCCCGCCTCGAAATGTCACCTCCGCCACACCTCGCAACCTCACGATTCCCTGCGCCTGCCACGAATATTGCACTTCCACACCTTATTATATAAAACCCGCGCAAGGTACTGCGCCTGCCACTAAAGGTGACAATATCATATCATGGTAGCTTCAGCAAGCACCAGCACACACGTTTGGAATAGTTTTGGCGCGTTCTGAGCACACTCACATCCACCAAAATCGGCATTTGAGGTGAACGCAAGTCCCAATGTCACAGCCGCATCCAACACCCCAAAAGCACCACCCTCTAAACGCCAATCCCAATCTGACTGTGAAGAAAGCTGCGGATCTCACAAAACGCTGCACCTGCGCAGTGAAATCATCCTCCCCACTTCAACGTCTCACGCTTCCTCGCTACCTCACATGAATCTGACACGTCGTGCTTCCATCCAAACCCCTCTCCGAAAGCTTCGCCCAACGTCAGCGCCATAGCGCCCTACCGCGGACGGTTGCGAACGGTTGACAACGGTTGCGGTCGCTACGAGATCGAGTCGTGAACAAGAGTCTACCCCCAAACCCCCAAGTTGTTAAACGAGAACCCTATAGGCTACGCATTCGGGAGTAGTTATAGGACCGGACAACCCCACATGTTAACAACTTCACCAGACACAGGAGCAAAGAATTGGTGGTTGGTGGGTGACCCGTACTCGGTTGGTGGCAGATTGTTGGTGGCAGTCTGTTAGCGACAATTGGTTGGTGGCAATTGGTTGGTGGAAGTTTGTTGGTGGCAAGTGGTTGGTGGAAGTTTGTTGGTGACAATTGGCGGGTGGCAACCGGTTGATGACAATTGGTTGGTGACAGCTGGTTGGTAGCAATTGGTTGGTGACAATTGGTTGGTGACAATTAGTTGGTAGCAATTGGTTGGTAGCAATTGAAGGGTGGCAATTGGTTGGTGGCAATTGGCGGGTGGCAATTGGTGGGTGGCACTTGGCTGATGACAATTGGTTGATGACAATTGGTTGGTGACAATTGGTTGGTGACAAATGGTTGATGACAATTGGTTGGTGACAGTTGGTGGGTGGCAATTGGTTGGTGACAATTGGTTGGTGGCAATTGGTTGGTGGCAATTGGTTGGTGACAATTGGTTGGTGGCAATTGGTGGGTGGCAATTGGTTGGTAGCAATTGGTTGATGACAATCGGTTGATGACTATTGGTTGGTGACAATTTGTTGGTGGCAGTTGGTCGGGAGGACCCCCCGGGAGGAGGCGGGAGGAGGAGGAGGAGGAGGAAGGAGGAGGAGCGGATACCACAATAAAAACAAAAACCCCACACGTCAATGTGGGGAAAAAGTACTTTAGTAGCTCCATCCGCCTGCACCTCTGGCGCAGCACATGGAGCTTCCGTACCTTGAAAGGCGCATCGATCGATCAAGAACTTCATACCAGCAATGCTACTACGTTCATGTTGCCGCAGCCACAAATGGTTGACCATCAATTATCAACTAAACAAAGCTCAATGAAAGCTGATTCAATCCTGGCCACTCTTGCAGCAATCAAGCGAGCGTTTTTCAAACACACAATTCAATACAAGTCAAACGCATTCCTGAGGTGGCAAAACCACACTTGGCAACCCTTCACCCTTCAAAGGAGCAAAGCCTGATCTCAAAGGAGATGTGTTTGCGGAACTTTTTGCATCTGGAGCCTGCACAAGCAAAACACAGCTGAGCTTGCTGTTGATATTCCTTGTGCATCTAAATGATTCTAAATGCACATACCAAATCTTGTGTGACACTGTGACACAGCAGCTTAATCAACTGTCTGACTTTAAAGACATGACCCCGGAGAGCATTACCTTTGCAAGGTTTGGTTGCTGAAAAAAAAGCAAACGTACGTATGTGTAATTATAAATGTATTTGTATATTATATATGTATTGTAATGACATATGCACAATATACTGGTGCCCGTTGAAGTTAATACATTTTGCATGTGGGATACTAAACCACCATGGAACGCCGATTTGCAAAAGTCAGTACTTAAGTCAAGACTGCTGGCCTTCCCCATTGTAAACGCTACATACAAAACAAGGGTCTCCAGATTCACCTTTCCAAAAAGAGAAAAAGTCAACTGCAAATCCCAATGGCAACGCAATTTGGAGAGCTACCCGACGTGGTAACTTACCCCATCGCACATGAACTTGACCCACCCCCATGGCACACCGCTTACCCCACGAATTTAAGAACTTACCCCATTTGGACAAAATGGCACACCGCTTCCAGACAAGCACTTTTTCTCCTAGATTGTTTCTAAATTCCATTGCGATTCAACCTTCTACATGTTGATGTTTTCAAAGGTTATCTATGGGCTGCCGTGATCCAATCCCCATGGCACCCCGATTCTGACCCACATGTTGGTACCAGCTTTAAGTTTCTACCTGGAGTGCAAACAGCATGGATTTGTTCTTTAAACGTCAAAAATATCTATGCGTTCTTGTGTGTATTCCTCTCCCAATCCCCATGGCACACCGCTTCGAAACAAGCACTTTTTCTCCTAGCCTAGATTGTTTCTAAACCTACACCATTCCATTGCGATTCAATCTTCTACACGTTGATGGGTTCCAAGGTTTCCTATGGGCTGAAATGATCCAACCCCCATGGCACACCGATTCTCACCCACATGTTGGCACCACCTTTAAGTTCCTACCTCGAGGGTAACCACCCAGACACGAAAGTCCTTGCAAAGCAGTTGCGGCAAGCAAATCACACTGTGACACCACACCGCGACTAAGTCACGGCAGAGTCAGATGTGCTGGTGCCTGGTGGGTTGGGCGAGATAAAGGGCGAGATGTGGGCGAGGTATTGGGCGAGATGAACACGTTTGCCCAGAAGACCCATGCCCACTAACACCCAAATACAAAAGTCCTTGCAATGCAGCTGTGGCAACCAATCAAGAACTGGGACACCACGCCGCGACTAAGTCACGGCAGCGTCCTTGCGATACTTGTTTCCGCATGGGGCACCGCGTTTCACCAAACAGGCCTGCCACCAAGCTTGATATCACGTTTCCAATGCCCAGTCTGCAATGGAAGAAGCCTGCTATAATCATAGGGCGTGCAAGAGAATGACAGGCAGCAAATGAGTAGGCTTTGTAGCCCAGGCCGCAGCAGCGGCAGCGACAAGCAGCAGCAAGCAGCAAGCAGCAGCACCAGCAGCAACCAAGCAGCAAGCAGCAGCACCGGCAGCAATCAGCCAGCAGCAGCAGCAGCAGCAGCAGCAGCAGCCAACCAACAGCAGCCAACCGCCAGCAGCAGCAGTAGCCAACCAGCAGCAGCAAGGCAGCAGCAGCAGAAAGCCAGCAGCAGACCGGCAGCACCAGCGAAGGTAGCCCAATCAAGCTTTCCCCCAAGGGCACACCTCATCTGGTTCATGCCACTCAATAGTGTGCCCGCTTCACAGCGGAAGCCAGGTTTCCACGAGGACCCTGCTTCCGAGGGTTGGCCCTATAAGCCCTTGGAGGGTTGGACATATGAGACCCACAATCCCAAGATGAAGGGGAACCTATGGGCTGCCTATAGAAACCTCTAGAAACAACCTATGGGTTGCCTGCCAACTTCCTTGCGGTAGGTCTTGTGCAATCAAAACACTGTGAACGCTGAGTAAACCAAGCCCATTGAATAAAACCATGCATTTAGAAAACATCTTCCAACACACTCTATCCTGCAAGGAAACGCTATAGTGTATCGACTTCCTGGTTTGCTCATCACCTTCTATCTGCTATTTAAAACAAGATGGAGCCCACGAACCCGAATGCAAACACGTTCAAAAAGCTACATATGTCCAAGTGACACTCTTGTAGGACACTCTTGTGGGACACTCTTGTGGGTCACTCTTGTAGGAAACTCTTGTGTGACACTCTTACGGGACACTCTTGTGGGACACTCTTGTGGGACACTCTTGTGGGACACTCTGTGGAAACTCTTGTGGGACACTCTTGTAGGACACTCTTGTGGGATACTCCTGTAGGACACTCTTGTGGGACACTCTCGTGGGGCACTCTTGTGGGACACTGTTGTAGGCAGCTCTTGTGGGAAACTCTTGTAGGACACTCTTGTGGGACACTGTTGCGGGACACTCTTGTGGGACACTCTTAAGGGACACTCTTGTGAGACACTCTTGCGGGACACTGTTGCGGGACACTCTTGTGGGACACTCCTGTGGGACACTCATTTGGGACACTCTTGTGGGACACTCTTGCAGGACACTCTGGTGGGACACTCTTGTGGGACACTCTGGACACTCTTGTGGGACACTCTTGTGGGACACTCTTGTAGGAAACTCTTGTGGGACACTCTTGTAGGACACCCTTGTAGGGCACTCTTGTGGGGGACACTCTTGTGGGACACACTCTTGTGGGACACTGTTGCAGGACACTCTTGTGGGACACTCTTAAGGGACACTCTTGTGGGACACTCTTAAGGGACACTGTTGCGGGACACTCTTGCGGGACACTCTTGTGGGACACTCTTGTGGGACACTCTTGTAGGGCACTCTTGTGGGACACTCTTGTGGGACACTCTTATAGGACACTCTTGTGGGACACTCATAACTCTTGTGAGACACTCTTGTGGGACATGGTTGCGGGACACTCTTGTGGGACACTCTTGTGAGACACTCTTACGGGACACTCTTGTAGGACACTCTTGTGGGACACTCTTGTAGGACACTCTTGTGGGACACTCTTACGGGACACTCTTGTTGCACACTCTTGTAGGACACTCTTGTGGGTCACCCTTATGGGACACTCTTGTCGGACACTCTTGTGGGACACACTTGTAGGACACTCTTGTGGGACACTCTTGTGGGACGCTCATACGGGACACTCTTGTGGAACACTCTTGTAGGACACTCTTGTGGGACATGCGGGACGCTCTTGTGGGACACTCTTGTGGGACACTCATACGGGACACTCTTGTGGGACACTTTTGTGGGACACTCTTGTAGGAGACTCTTGTGGGACACTCTTGTGGGACACTCTTGTGGGACACTCTTGTAGGAAACTCTTGTGGGATACTCTTGTAGGACACTCTTGTGGGACACTCTTGTAGGACACTCTTGTGGGACACTCCTGTAGGGCACACTCTTCGTACGAGACTTCCTCCAAAAGCCACGCTGCGAGGCTGCAAGACGAGCGTTTCGTACGAGACTTCCTCCAAAAGTCACGCGTCAAGTCTCAAAAACGAGCGTTTCGTACGAGACTTCCTCCAAAAGTCACACGTCAAGTCTCCAAAACGAGCGTTTCGTACGAGACTTCCTCCAAAGTCACATGTCAAGTCCCCAAAACGAGCGTTTCGTACGAGACTTCCTCAAAAACTCACATGTCAAAGTCTGCAAAACGAACGTTTCGCACGAGACTTCCTCCAAAAGTCCAGCGGAAACACCCATCGGAGCACACACATCACGCAGCCCTGCCAAGCAGTTTCGCGATTCCAGCCCCTCCAAACGACACCCGCTCACACGCCAATCCCAATGTGACAGCGACATTCACCTCTACCACAACTCACAACCTCCCGATTCCCTGCGCCTGCCACGAATCTTTCCGCGTCCACACGTCTAACGCGCACAAAGTACTGCACCTGCCACGAAATGTCACCTCCGTCACACATCGCAACCTCACGATTCCCTGGGCCTGCCACGAAAATCATACTTCCACACCTCAAAACCCGCACAAAGTCCTGCGCCTGCCACGAAAAGTAACAATGTCATCTCATGTGAGCTTCAACAAAATTTGCACCACACCACACGTTTGGAATGATTTCGACCCGTTCTGAGCACACTCCCATCCACCAAAATCGGCATTTCAGCTGAGACTTGTCACGAAAACAGAGCTTCGATGCCACACCCTGAAACGCAAATCTCAATGGCACGGCCACATCCAACACCCCAAAAACACGACTCTCCAAACGCTAATCCCAATGGAACTGCGCAGCAATCTGCAGATCTCACAAAACGCTGCGCCTGTGCAGCGAAATGCATCACGCTTCTTGCGCGACATATCATTTTCACGCAAATCACAATGGACTAGCGTCGCAAACTGACACGTGACACATCCATGAATAGTCACTTGCAAAAGCTTCCCCCAATGGCAGCGCCTTAGCGACCTACTGCGGACGGTTGCGAACGGTTGCGAACGGTTGCGGACGGTTGCGAACATAGAAGCAACGGGTCGCGAACAAGACTTTACCCCCAGACCCCCAAGAGTTAAACGAGAACCCTTCGCTACGCATTCGGGAAAAAAAGAACGTCTCGACTTCAACAACTGGCAGTATGTGTATATATATATATCTCATACTGTATGTCATTATGTTGTCTTCTCTTGCCAAGGCAAATCGGGGACTGGAGACATTGCTGCTGATCCTGCCTTCTTGGGACTGCACTCCACACGGGCCCTCAGCCGTTTCCAGGAACTTGGAGACTCTGAGGCATTCCACATGTGACAGTAAAATATCAGCGTCAGAGTGGGATTTGAGTATGGACTTGTGGGCTCATCATATCTTGAACATAGATTCATAGTCAATGAACATCAACTCAACTTGGTTTGGATCCGTCCGCCACCTTGATCACTGGACTTGACAACACTCATATCACAGAAACACACTCCAATGACAATCTCGCGGATCAAATGTCGCATACCTCTCCCATTGAAATAGCTTGGGCTCGTGGCGGAGACACAGACGGAGAAGAGGCGGAAGGAGCTACCTGCTAAGGCGCAACAAAATTGCAGTGGCACTCGCGCTACTAGGTTGGAGGCCATCGCATTGCAGTGGCACTCTCGTGGCCAAGTCAGGTACCTACACACGCATCCTTTTAAGCTCATCCTGCCTCCCAGTTCGCCTGAAACTCCATGGCTGTTCGGAATTCGTCCATGAAGACCACCTGGCGAAAGAACTGAAGAAAAAGAAAACATATCATATTCTCACACTCTGTCCGTCAGGACCACTGACAGGAAAGAACTTCTGAAGTCAACCAATTGGGTAAACGCAGAACTGCTTGAGGCCTAAGTCCTTTGTCGCACTTATTGTCTATCTTCAATGTCAAGGTGAGAATGTGTAGGCGGCCTCTCGGCCATCCTGCGCCATCCACCTAAACCTCGGAAACTTGAAGCTGCAGAATGGTGCATTGACCCCTTTCAATCTGGCCTTGCAGCACTCTTTCGCTAGCAAGAGCTTGTATAAGATGGGGTTCTCTTGGCAAACCTCTGGTTCGCTTTGTTTCCCGTTCACTTCTTTCCGTTTGCTGCTGTATTTTGACCCCGGCTGCATGATGTTTCATGATATTTCTATGCCATTCTATGCTTCAGGTTTCTGTGCGCCCGAGCCAACTTTGCTGGCCCATTCCTTCCAATTGTTCCTTTTGTTCCATTTATCTTGTCTCCAACAAGAAAAGTAGAAGAAACGCTTTCTGCTAGCAAACATACGTTCAGTCTTTTTCCTGAGAGCAGCTTTGGGGCTCCAAACAGGTTTTCCACTTGTCGCCTCCAGCGTTCTTGCGACAGCCCCTGATTGACCTAAGCAAGTGCTGCAAGCGGTAACAAGGCTCGGGTTCTTCCCAGTTATATATATATACACATCTACCGTCCTAGCTCTACTTCAATCCCGTGCGGAATGTGCAAGGGTAGCTTTCATGTAGCAGCCTGTCACAGCAAAGGCGGATCAGAATAAAAAGAAGCTACAGCACAGCACTAAGACTAAGTACATATATGATAGTACTTTCATGCTGCTGTCCTTTGGAGTTCCTTGATGACTTTCATATTATTTCCACACCTGCGGCAATCAACTCTGTACGGCACCAAAATCCTTCCAAGAGGCTCCAAGTCGCTCAAGTCCAGTGGCCAAGTCCTTCTTCTGCAAACATCCGTTGCCCCCCACATCCTCAATTGCACTGCTGCATGTCAGCACAGTCATGAGTTGCCTTCTTGAAGTCGTGTTGCAAATCTGGCTCGATCACTCTGACAGGGAAAGGAGCCAGGCGTCCATCAGGCGAAAGGCATCTGCTGGCCAAAGTTGATGGGCTGCCAAAGCCCATCGCAAGCGCAAAAGCAGGGCCTTCAAGAAAAGCTACGCTTCACATTACATCAATCTGGTCTGTCTCTCGATCAGGCCAAAAAGACCCGCAATAGCATGAGGGTGTCGAATGCTGGCAGTTTTTATTTGTAGCCGTGCAATGATACAAAGGCAACATGTCTCCACCAAGTATTTAACTGGTGGGTCTTCGTGCATCCTCACGTGCACGACTCTGTGCATTTGAAACGCTTGAAGTTTCATGAGGCTGCCATTACGTAACTCTGGACATCCAAAACATGCCCGGTTCACCTTCGTGGCCCAGTCGTCCAGCTCGTCCACCGTCTGGAAGACTTTGGCAAGAGGGCATCGCTGCCACGGCCTTTGATGGGTGGAATCCTATAAGATGGAAAAGCAAATCACTATAGCGATGGCCTCCAGCCTATTAGCAATGGCCTCCTCCAACCTAAAAGCGATGGCCTCCAACCTAAAGGCGAATGCCTCCAACCTCAAAGCGATGGCCTCCAACCGAAAAGCGATGGCCTCCAACCTAAAAGCGATGGCCTCCAACCTAAAGCGATGGCCTCCAACCTAATAGCGATGGCCTCCAACCTAAAAGCCATGGCCTCCTCCGACCTAAAAGCGATGGCCTCCAAGCTAAAAGCCATGGCCTCCAACCTAAAAGCAATGGCCTCCTCCAACCTAAAAGCGATGGCTTCCAACCTCCGAGCGATGGCCTCCGACCTCAAAAGCGATGGCCTCCAACCTACGAGCGATGGCCTCCAAACTACAAGCGAAGCGATGGCCTCCAACCTACAAGCAATGGCCTCCTCCAACATCCTCCAACCTAAAAGCGAGGGCCTCCAAACCTACTAGCGAATGCCTCCAACCTACAAGCGATTGCCTCCAACCCAAAAGCGATGGCCTCCCACCTAAAAGGATGGCCTCCAACCTGAAAGCGACGCGATGGCCTCCAACCTAAAAGCGATGGCCTCCAAACCTAGAAGCGATTGCTTCCAAGCGATGGCCTCCAAACTAAGAGCGATGGCCTCCAACCTAAAAGCGATGGCCTCCAAGCTAAAAGCGAAGGCCTCCAAGCTAAAAGCGAGGGCTTCCAACCTAAAGCGATGGCCTCCAACCTAATAGCGATGGCCTCCAACCTAAAAGCGATGGCCTCCAACCTACTAGCGATGGCCTCCAACCTAATAGCAATTTTGATCAATTTTGCATATTGAAACTATTCTCAGTCCTCGTAGGATTTGTGACACGCAGTTTGACTGAACGAGATCAGCGCTGAGAGAGAGAGAGAGATGGGGAGCACGATGATGATGTGATGACTGCCCAAGCCGACTGCGAACTAAGGTAAAACAATGGCCCAGTAACAAGTCAATGTCTTGTACAAGTTACAACCGGTGGCTCAACAAGGTGGCTAGTGTGTTGTAAAGTCCTACTGTAGCTGTAGTGTGTCCGATAAATATGCTTGGCATTCGACATTGAAAAAGCATCTCTCAGCCACGCACCGGTGACTTCGACGTCGGCAGGCTCGGACATCCAGCCACCAAGGCAGCCGGTTCTGAGCTTCGGCGAGCTGAAAAGACTATACAAATATTAACAACTCCACTGAAAAATCATAAAGGATCACAAAGGCACTGTTGATGAAGGTAAAGCCCCCACAAATACAAAGCATACACATGCATGCGGACAAGTTATTGTCTTGTCAGATATTAATCGGATCCAGTGAGCAATAGCATCGCAGAATCGTGCTACAATGATGCCAGGCGTTTGTCGTGTTTTGGACACCTCCACCCTGGTGAGCTGAAGCGTGCGTAGCAAAACGCTGACCTCGCGAGCCTGGCCGGATGTGCCCGATGCTATGCTGTCTGTTCTCTTGCAGCCATTCAGAGCGAAACGAAGGGACTTGGCCCACACGGGGTTGGCAAAGAGCTTCTAAGATGTATTCGGCAAGACTTCTGAAGGCGAAACAGCTTGCAAGAGGGCTTCCAAAAGGAAAGCACTATTTTAATATTATAAGAGGTTTTTGACATTATACATTTGCGCTGACACCCTCTCTGTTTGCACATGAGTCATTTGGACAATCTATGAACCTATGAAAAACCTGGAAGATCGGATATGTACAAACTCGATTTGTTTCTTTAAGGTTCCTCTTGGGTGAGCAAGTGATTCAACGATCTAGTGCCAAAATGTAATTACCACATGTACCTGGAACTGCACTGGAACTCACTTAGCACTCATCGAACAAAAAGGCTCGGCTTGGATGCCTCCCTCCTTGCAAGTGTCAAACAAACAGTTCAGTTGCAATCAGACTACGGTTCCCAGCTATCCGTGAAGAAGTGCGAAAAACAATGGATGACAAAATAACGCAAATAGTATACTGATTATATAATAGGTGGTTCCAACAAAGGATTGACAAAACAACAGGCACCAGTCCAAAGGTCGCGTTCAGGTACGGCAAGTGACCCAAACCTCTTCACCAACTGCTCTGCTGCGTATTTCCCACCAAGCTCGTCGCACATTGGTACCAATCACCAGAAAACTCTAACATTTTCTGAGTGTGTAGTAAAGCTGATTGGTGGGTCATCTGAAGGCTAAAGCATTGCTTGGATGCTGTTAGATCAGCTGGCCATGGCTGCTTGGATGCTGCACTTGGCAAACATTAAGTCCATGGGATTCCTAGGGGCACCTTCGCACACGGAAAAGAAACTATCGCTCAGCCGGTTGACAAGTGAGATCATAGTGTTAATATGCTGTGTATGCCGCCAAAAAGGGTCTACGCAAAACGTGCAGGCTCGACTCTTTAGCGGCTAGCAACTGCTGTAGCTGATAGTTGAAGTGTTGTTGATTGAGTTTGGAGCGTGAAGGACGCACTTGGCTTGCCTGGAAGTCCTCTGCGCTGTTGAGAAAACGGAAGACTTGTTCAGCAGCCTGCACACATTCATCCAAAGGCACAGCCTCAAGGACCTCATAAGTGCAGGAAATCCGACTTGCAGGGTCTAAGAACTGACTCTTTGCATCTCAAGGCCACAAGGCCAGCGCACAGACTATGATATATACTATAATTATATATGAGTATCGTGTAGGAAACTCAGGATGAGTAAGCGGTTTCCAGGTCCCAGAACGCCTGTTTGCGACTGTGACTGATGAAGGTGCTTCACTTGTCTGGGCTGGGCAAAAATGAGTGAATCTGAATACCCATCAACTGAATGCATGTCTACGTCTTGCCTCAAGCTGGTGTCCTAGCTCAACACCTTGGCAAGCACGAAGGGACAAGCAACAAAACTTCCTGGACGTATGGATTAGGAAGGACGAGCCACTCAACAAGAATTTCTCAAAGGAGTGCCATTTAATTTTGATTTGTGTTTCCATTTTTGGATTTTTTGTTTTTCGTGGCTTCTGGCTTCTGTGGCTTCTGGCTTTTGTGGCTTTTGGCTTTCGTGGCTTTCGTGGCTTCTGTGGCTTTTGGCTTTTGTGGCTTTTGGCTTTTTGGCCTATCCATCTATCTGTCTATATCTATCTTTCTATATCTATCTACCTTTCTTTCTTTCTTTCTTTTTGGCAGCTGTTCTCCTTTCTCTTTTTGCATTTGCTTTTCCTGTTGTTTTCGTTGCAGAGACGAAACCAAACAAGGAAGCAAGCAAGCAAGCAAGCAAGCAAGCAAGCAAGGAAGCAAGCAAGCAAGCAAGCAAGCAAGCACGAGCTGCTCACCTTTGGATCTGGTGTGCTGCTGGGGGGGGGGTGGTGCGCCCCTTTCAATCCCCCCCGCGCCATGAAATCTGCACTTCATCCCCGACACCCGCGCTGCCACGAAATCAATATTTTAAGGTGAACTCCCCGGTGCAAAACTTTCTAACCAAGCAAATATGCCTCCTCTATTTATCTATCTATCCATTTATCATTCTATCTTTCTATCTATCTGCAGTTCAACATCCACAAAGTACTGCACCTGCCACGAAATCTGCACTCCAAGGCCCACAAAGTCCTGCACCTGCCACCAACTCTACACTTCCAATCCACAAAGTCCTGCATCTGCCACGAAATCTGCACTTCAAGGTCCACAAAGTCCTGCACCTGCCACGAAACACGAAAAAAAAAACAATCCAAAATTAAGTCGCGGCCCTTTCTCAAAATGTCGGAAGCACGGATGAATAAAGAACATCCTACTGTACTATACTGCGTGTCCACACATCAAGACCCTTGGTTTGAACAAATCCTTGAACTATGTAACATGTCCTTCTAGATCTTCAAAGGAGCTTAATGAAACTTGACAAGCAGGCTGATGCACAAATATACACAAAAGCATAGTTGGGTGGAAAGCTTGTACCGTGATGCAACCCCCGCTTTCCAAACTCTGAGTTCACTGCTGTCCAGCACAGGCCCATGGGAATCAAGCAAGGAATCATCTCTGCCAGATTCTTTGCAAGTGATGCACCTCCGTCATGCACACCACCACGATATCCCACAATGGCGAAATTATGCGAAATTGAACATGCTAGTGGCTTTTCGTGACACGTGCTAACACTCAGTATTTACGTGCAGTATGGACACTTGGCAACCATGTGGTTCCAAGACTTGAGCCGCCACAAAAAACAAATCAAAGTAGGAGTCATATCAAAGGCAGGCATTGTCCAAAACATCTAGGTGCCAATCTTTGCCCTGGATGCCCTTGGCATCTCTGGCTGGTGTATATTATCTCCCCACCACTGTCTCACCTCAATGCGAGGCCGCACTCAACGGGGAGTGTGGCAGGGCTTGAGCTCCGGAGCAAATGCCTGGGCATCGTGTACACTGAAAAGTGGCAACGGCGGGGGGCACAGGCCGGGGCCCATTGGGTCAATTTCTTGTGGCCCTGAACTACATAGATGCATGTGACCGGCGTCAGCTTCGATTGACGGGGGCTGGCCTTGTACATAATTCACTGACTTGCAACATCACAGGATTTCAGGATCATGCAATGGACACCAAGGCCGGCGGCCCAGAAGAAAATACAACACTCTTAGGTCATGCAGGATTCTGTCCAGCAACGATCTTCCTAGGCGTTTTCAACAGGCTTGTGGGCCTTGAGGAGTGGCGTTTTGAGTCGACAATTCGCTATGACTACAATGACTATAACCTAGAATTCTCGCAGTCTCTCACTTTCTGGGGTCCGCAGCAGTGTGCCACGTAGATGCTCCGCCTCTTCCAAGCTCAGTGCAACGAAGTAGCGGCCCTGTCATTTAAAGTGCAATCATCCATGGCAATTGATGGCTGTCCCCTGAATGCGCATTGCCCCCGTGAGCTTAAATGTTTGACATAGGCACTACCACACAATACCAGTGACTTCAGGCCAAGAACGCGTGGGTGGGCTAAGCCCACTGCAATCTGTTGCTGACACATTAGCATAAACAGTGGCCAACCAAAGTTTCAAGGTTTCGCATTGTCTGCGATTGGTCTGGCCACAGCCTGCTGCATCTTGTATATGCTGTGAGTGAGCAGCTCCTTCTCCAAATCTTGGAGTGTTACTCGGCCTAAGTCCCATGTCTGTCTGTCTCTCTCTCTCTCTCTCTCTTTCTTTCGCTCTTTTCTCCCGCACATCCCAACTGAGAGGTGTTCAAATGTCTTTGGGAAGGGGTTGTGCCAACATGCTTAGTTAAGTCAGTTAAGCATACCTGGAGCCCTGAACACTGCTTGTTTTTCAGGTGCGCCCCAAAAAAATCATCCGCTGTATTTTTTTTGCTTGCTCAGGTCCTGTCGGGACACTTGTCAAAAAAGTCCCAAACTATGAGAAGAAACATGGAAGTATTTAACACAAGCCCTTCCCCGTTGTACAAACTGAACCAAGCCTGGAATCATGGACTTGCTGGGCCAAGGTTTCCTTTGGGAATTACAGTAACTCTGTGAGAACTCGCTTTGGTGGCAAGTGCTTGCTTGGCCTCCAAGTTTGCCTACAACACTTAAGAGGTTAAGGAGCGATTTTGAAGGATTTGGCACTCTTTTGTTGTGTTTCTGTAGAATCTACTCATCCACCGCGCGCAAAAACCAAACGCCGAACCGACGCCATCACTCGAAAAACAGACTCCGCGCCAAAACCGCGCCCAGAAAGATCGACGCCAAACAGACGCCAAACGACGCCGAATTGGTGTCTTTGGGTTGTAATGACATTGGGCCTCATGTCTTGTCAGATATTGATGGTATGGGACGTAAGTTGTCATCACTCTTTCGTCGGGAGCGTTGATGTGTCCTTTAATGTATACTCTTGTCTAGTCATGTTTTGTAATTAGCATTTGGTGGATGATTTTCTGTTTCAACTTCAATGAAGCTGGCCAAGGAAATGTACGCTGTAGTCTCTAATTAGGCTATGACAGAACTCCAATGCCGTATGGGGAGTTTTGCTCCCTTGATGAAGGTTTACTGTCAAGAGGAAAATGCTGAGGAGCTTTGAAGCCCCTGTTGAAGGTCCCCTGTTGGAAAAGAACACTTTGCACTTCCAGTTAAGACTAATCCTTTAGTGCTTGAGATGCAGGGCTTGAGGCTGTTTCTACCTTGAAAGTCTGCCGGGAGGTCTCTTCTTCCCTTTGAAATGGTTTCTGGCGAGATGCACCCACATAGGCCCTGAACTGGTTTTGAGTGAATCCCAAAAACTTACTCCACGTGAACTAAAAGCGTCTCGAGGGTACAGGTACTTATATATATATATATGTATATTTAGTTGACTCATTACATACCTCATCATACTTCTTACAAGGCCACAAACATGGCGCAACTGCGCATGCCAGGATTTGCACCCTATCACAGGGTGCACAACTGCCTTATGCACCGTAGTAAAGCATGTTGATCGCTCAGCCGAGGTCTGAGCTGCTGGGCGACATTTTTGCCTTATGCAGTCACGAGCACGGCAGTGCTGGAAGAAATGAGAGTTCTGGTTTTTTAAGCCATGATGCCATCAAAACAAATGCGGCTACATCTTATCATATTTTTTCATGATTGGTGAACATCACATGTTCATGCGAAACTCTCCCGAATGGCAAACGATGCCCTTATGTTGTCAACAAAAACCATGAGAGCCCTTGAGCCATGCACCGTCAGGGCTTCACCTTCATCAGCCAAATCCAACACGCCACAGAGTGCTCGCACCTCACAGATCCGTCATGCGTGCACTGGTTTCTGTAAACTGTTGCCGGGTCCTGGGCCCCTAGCTGTTTTGAATGACTGGCACAATTACTGTATATAAGCCAGTAAGCCCAATGATTCAATCTGATTCTATAGAAGGAAGTAGTGCACCGTAATTAGATCCCCGTGCGAATATCTAGGGTGAGGTCAGGCGATGCATTCTGTAGAGAAACCTCTACAAAATGACTTGGCTGGCACTAGCCTCACTACAAAATTGGCTCGTGGGTTTCTACAAAATGCCTTGGTCAACATTATCCTCACAAATGTGAACATCCCCAGCGTAGATGGCTGAACTTTACAAAATGCAATGCGCAGGCACATTTTGTAAGAACCCGCCCCCCTGCGACGGCAGATCGGAATCTCAACGGACGGCAACAGGTCTCAGGGAAAGGATGTAGAGTTTCATCCTTATTCAAGTCTTGCAATGCAATCACTTACAAAAGATAAGCCTGAGGTCATTTTGTTTGACTCTTGTACTTGTGTGTGTGTTTCTTTTAATTCTTGAACATGTCATCACTTATATACAACAATATTAACAGAATATTATATATCCTTATCGCATTGTCTGAAATGTAATCCCCTACAAAATGATGCACAGGAGGTCCTCTTGGGAACTCATACCGCGGTCTTGGAACGCTTGGAATGCCATCACTTGCAAATGACGCACCCAAGGTTATCTTGGTTGGCTCTTGCTTTGGCTTTTCTCACAAAATCACGCTGTCAAAATTGTTGTTTGCTTTGGTTTATGTTGAATGCTATTTCTTACAAAATGCATGACTTGTCCTCATTTTGTCAAGGCATGTCAAGGCCAAAAACGTATTCTGGGCTCTTACAAAATGAAAGGCACATGTGTATTTTGTAAGGATCTTCCCTGTCCGTGAGTTCTGACATCTCCTATGCCGGGTGGTTGCTACAAAATGGCCATGGTTTTAGGGCCTCAAGGCCGGCCCTTCATTTTGTAGGGGTTATTCGCACGGGGATGTAATTAGTACACATTATCAACTTGGAAATCGTCTAGCCCTCGAAGTCTAGT